CCCGCAGAACGCATTGTGCATAACAAAGTTAGTGATTTTTGCCATGCGACGACGGCCTCCAAACAAAATAGAAAATCAAGTGACGAATCAGTAAACCAATTGACACGATAGTGCCTAGAAAGCGTCAACATGAACTAATTCCCAAAATGATTTGAGAGAGCTATGCAAGAAACACTTGAGAATATTGGCTGCTTAACATATTTCCATATCATGTCGGAACAAAGCCAAGACAGAGTCTCTCGGAGAACACATTTGCTGACACATAAGGGTTTCCACTTCACGCACGCATACGCACTTGAGGATTGTTCGGTTATATGAGGTGCAACTACTCTCTCTGTTATTTGTTTTATTGCCATTGTAAACATAATCTTGTTCGCAAATACAGAATCAAATATTAAGGGTTCCTCGTAAAAGGTATTTATTTTTAGTTTGAAATATCCTTTACCACATGGAATCATGTCTTGTTTGATTTGGGCATATAAGGAGGCAGAAGTTGGTGTCTTTTTGGTTTTGGTTTGTTGTCTTACATCGCACTCAGCAATATTCCAGCTATGAGACGGACAAGACAATCCAGTGATTAATATCAGGAGCATCGATCCACGCAAATGGGATCGATGACATGCATCAACCAAGTCAGCGAGCCTGACCACCCGATCCCGTTCGTCGCCTTTTACGACGAGCATAGTCGCCTTTTACGGCAAGCATAGGTTTCTGAAGACCTATTCTACTCCGGATCTGTACGGGTCGTTCCCGTTAGTCGCCTCTTACGTCAAGCATGGGTTACTGAAGGCCATGTCTAACCCGGATCTTCACGGATCTGTGGGTTTACTGACAGTTCACAATATTCGTCACTGCTTTCAGTAACAGTAAGACACCACATTTATCGGCAGAGTGAGTGAGTGAGTTAAAATTTATCGTCATATCGGCAGTATTTCAGCCATATCGTGACTACCAAAAGTTATACATAACATATACATATAAACAATAAAAGCCTGTCAACAAAGGACAGTAAAACAACTAGAAGATCACAGAATATTATTTAAAACTAGTATACAGCCATTAAAAGATTTCACTATACCTAACGATGCAATATAAAAAAGGTTATAGATCGCCAGCAACTGAAGATAGATCGCCTCCCTTGGGACCATGGGGACTTACAGTACCCAAGCATGGACCCAAGCAGGATTTACACCATCCCTCCAGGTGTTGGCGATGGCTGACACAATTAGCCGAACATTAAAACAACACATATTCTACGATTAAAAACGCGGTAGCAATAAATACACTTTGAAAGCCATTAGTATGTTGCACAGGGGATCCTGACATGACGCCGTCGCTGAACACTATGGTCTGGTAACAATCTCCAGGTTGCCGTCACGATACTGTCCAACAGCGCAGACCACGCGTCGCCGCACTCAACGAAGATCGTTATGATCAGGAAAAGACGGCTTGTGCTTGTAATTAATGAACGCTAATGTCACAGCACAAACTTAAGCGACGAGGTAATGCGTTCAGTTGTGGTATCCCGCCGTGATATCGGATTATTGCTAAAAGCTGCATAAAAACATACTCACTCACTTCATTTCTGGTTACTTTCCTACAACAGACCCCACGGATCTTGTTTCAACACTACCACAAACACAACGTATCATCAGTCGCTTTCTGTAGGTTTAACTCTCATACAAGAAATAAACGATGCCGTTATTTTGAAATACCCCTGATAATTTGGATCCCATTTCTGAGTTTCATAGCTTGATATTTAATCATGTCATGTAATAATGTCATTTCAGTAGACCTATCATATTAAAATTAACATTTGATTTATAAATAAACCCCATTTTCCAATTGCATGTTTTTTCTATACTATCGGCTATCATGTGGAATGAACAAGAAGATAAAGTCATCAATATCATTAGTGATATAGAACCACACATACTACCTGACTAAGACTCTCTGAAATAAAGATCAATAACCTTCATCCCTGCCTCTGATGGTGCCCATGATATACAGCAATCAGTGTTTCCCATTTGGCATGTCTTGTGTCTGGGGTAATTTTTCATTCCAAGATTGTGTTATAAATCCAGGTCTGATGTTGCAAAACGCCATCTGACAAAGGATTAACCGATAATACGTTGATTGATTATTCTATGTTATCTTGCGCGGTTACTTTGTCAAAAATAAATAGGTTAACTCAAGCAGACGGATTACCACCACATCCGGGTGTGAAGTCCTACGCAAAAACAACAAACTTAATTTTATAAATTAAATTGTTACAAAGACACGTTACATTGAACAAGTTTCTTTGCACATATTCAGATGTCTGGATAGTATTCCTTTCTGTGGTTATTTACGAATACATTCCTCGAACAAGGTAAAACTGCCTGCTATTTTACGTAAAACGTCTGTCGGTTGTAATTACGATGTTCTTTTTGTTTTGTTTTGATTTTTGTTTTGTTTTTCGTTTTTGTGTTTTTTGTTGTTGTTTTGTTGTTTTTGTTTTGTTTGTTGTTGTTTTGTTTTTGTTTGTTTGTTTGTTTGTTTGGGTTTTTTTGGGTTTTTTTGGGGTGGGGGCGTGAAGATCCGGAGTAGAATAAGCCAACAGCCAACAGTATTTATCAATTTTCCTTTGCCTTTGGAGAGGCCCATGACATAATGCACTAATTCCACTCGAAACAGCTCTCCTTAGGCGTCACCATAAACACGATGCCATAAACGACCGTTGCTAGACAAGGAAACATTCCCGCAATAAATGACTTATGTTGACCATAGAATGATAGATTACACACGTTCAACGTGGTGATTTAAAGTACGCTTGCGTATAAGAGTTTTTTGTAAGCGCAAAGTTGCTATGAATCTTATCTTTGGACTTCCTTGTACAACTTTGAGAGGTCAAGGCGGTCATTGCACTACACATCGTAATTAACAATTCGAAATAAAATATAAGTTACTGAGAAAGTCAAAATACATACTTTCAGTGACAAAAACAGTAAGGCATAGGCAATTCAGTGCAAACTGTATTGGTGTCAGTTTAATAGCGAAAGCCTTTTATTATCTATGACATGCTGAATCAGTATGGCAAATAATTAGTATAGCAATGTTATTTTATATTTTATTGATATGGTGCATTATCTTTCATGGACAGGCGTCCAATATCAGGGACATACACTGAGAAAATGTAAAAATTGTAATTATTTGAGTTTGTTTGTTGTTTAACGCCGCACTCAGCAATATTCCAGTTATATGACGGCGGTCTGTAAGTAATCGAGTCAAGACAATCCAGTGATTGACAACATAAGCATCGATCCACGCAATTGGGATCGATGACATGCATCAACCAAGACAGCGAGCCTGACCACCCGATCCCGTTAGTCGCCTCTTACGACAAGCATAGTCGCCTTTTTCGGCAAGCATGGGTTGCTGAAGACCTATTCTATCCTGGATCTTCACGGGTCTGGAGCACACAATACTGTACTATCTTTTGTTGACTACCCTTTTAGATGAAACAAAAATTATTAACGATGAGCCAATTTTCTTTGTACACGCCAATTGACACGGCGTTTCCAGCTACATGTGTATAAGTGAACACATGAGTTAGTGAGTGTGGTTTTACGCCGCTTTAAGCAATATTCCAACAACACCACGGCAGGGAGAGGGGTAGCAGAAATGGGATGCACACATTGTACTTATACGGGGAATCGAACACGGGTATTGGGCGTGACGAGCGAACACTTATCCACTCACTATGTTACAAATGTAATCTGCTTGTTTTTTGACATTCGTGTTGTTCGTTGTTCTCATTAAAGGCAGAGCATTTTTTTAAGTACTGAACTTACGTATGAAAGAGTCTAGTAATAGCTTTTGTTTAATTGTTCCATAAAAAAATGTTTGCAACAATAAACTTACATGTCATACAAAGTAATACTTATATGACAATGAAAATAGCTTGGTTACTTGTTACTTCCATATAAACAACAGACGCGTTTTGTTTGTTTCTTGTTTAACGCCGCATTCAGCAATATTGCAGCTATATGACGGCGGTTTGTAAATAATCGAGTCTGGATCAGACAAACCAGTGATTAACATCATGAGCATCGATCCGTGCATTTAGGATACGGATCATGCATCAACCAAATTCAGCGAGCCTTACCACCCGACCCCGTTAGTCGCCTCTTTCGACAAGCATAGACGCCTCTCACGGCAAGCATGGGTTGCTGAAGACCTATTCTCTACCCGGACCTTGGGCGGTGGGGTAGCCTAGTGGTTAAAGCTTTCGCTCGTCACGCCGAAGGACCGGATTCGATTGTGAAGCCCTTTTCTGGTGTCCCACGCCGTGATATTACTGGAATATTAAGAAGTTAAAAACAATAATCACTCACTTCACGGGATCACGGATTCACCTATCTTCAGACACGTGAAGATCAGGGGTACAATAGGTCTTCAGCAACCCATGCTTGCCCTAAAAGGCGACTATGCTTGTCGTGAAAGGCGACTAACGGGATCGGGTGGTCTGGGCCGCTGTCTTGGTTGATGCACGTCATCGATCCCAATTGCGTGGAGCGATGGTCATGATACCAATCACTGGATTGTCTGGTCCAGACTCGATTATTTACAGACCGCCGTCATATAGCTGGAATATTGCTGAGTGCGGCGTTAAACAACAAACCAACCAAACAACCAAATCGAATTACGTTTTAAAGTCCCCTGACCTGCAACACTTCGTGCTTCCTCCCAGCATTAGGTTGGTGCGCGAGAATATACCGGAAATAAACTTTAAAGCATCGTTAAACCTTACTCAATACCCTACCCTAAAACTTATTGCCTTGGGTAATATGCGTCCCAGGAGAATTGGTACAAAATGTCGTGTGCTCTTGCGAGCTTATTTATGATCGCTTCTGGGAAAAATCCACTGGGAGTGGACTGTGGAAACGTTATCTCTCCAACTGTACAAGTGTTCCTGATTGCAACATGTGACATAGCAAATTACCTTTATCGTTACTTAGTTGGTATAAATTGTTAGCACCGCAAGGCCGGCACTGTCGCACCCCAGACTCTCGTCCTCTCTGCTAGCCTCGAGAGAAGTAATTTTCTTCTTCATCAAAACGGGTATGTGGTTAGTTTTCCGTTGTTGACATGGTATTATGGTTAACTTCGAGTAAATAGAGGAAAATATTGAATTTTATCACCTAACATTGATAATCGTTTCATTACATTTGAAATAAGACTAAGATTCTAAAGCAGATTAAAACGCCGAACTGGTTAATTGCATATAATATATGCATACAATCATTAGCATAACAGAAACATAACTATCCACTCAAAGTCATTCAAACTTATGTGTCATTCAAAACTGATTTTTTTTTTGAATTGATGATCCATATGACTCATATGTATTCAGTCATGTATCCACAGGTTGTGACTCTTTCATCTTCACACAGAGCAAAACATGCAATTAATATGCCAACTGTCTGGGTTTACCTCCTGACGTTTCTCTTTTTCAACAATTGTTCAGAGTACGTACGTGATAGTTTAGTTACAATATGGGGGCGGTCGGGTCGCCTGGTGGTTAAAGCGTTCGCTCGGCACGCCGAAGACCCGGGTCGATTCCCGACATGGGTACAATGTGCGAAGCCCATTTCTGGTTTCCCCCGCCGTGATATTGCTGGAATATTGCTAAAAGCGGCCTAAAACCACACCCACTCAGTAACAATAGGACATCTGTCAATCGCCAAACAAATTGATTCGTTACTATTTGTGTACCTGGAATTGTGTCATGTTTGACTTATTGTACAAACACATATTATGAATGCAGCAAGACATCTTTATATCTTACGCAGGGCACCTAGAAAGACGCGTTTTATGAAGTACTCTTATATATTTTGGTGACAGTCTACTTCCATATATTATGGTGACAGTCTACTTCTACATAAATGGTGACAGTCCACTTCCATATATTGTGGACACAGTCTACTTCTGTATATTATGGTGACGGTCCACTTCTACATAAATGGTGACAGTCCACTTCCATATATTGTGGACACAGTCTACTTCTGTACATTATGGTGACAGTCCATGTCTACATAAATGGTGACAGTTCACTTTTACATATTATGGACACAGTCTACTTATGTATATTATGGTGACAGTCTACTTCTACATATGATGGTGACAGCCCACTTCTACATATTATGGACACAGTCTACTTCTGTATATTATAGTGACAGTCTACTTCTACATATGATGGTGACAGCCCACTTCTACATATGATGGTGACAGTCCACTTCTACATATGATGGTGACAGTCCACGTCTACATATTATGGACACAGTCTACTTCTGTATATTATGGTGACAGTCTACTTCTACATACAATGTCGACAGTCCACGTCTACATATTATTGACACAGTATACTTCTGTATATCATGGTGACAGTCTACTTCTACATATAATGGTTACAGTCCACGTCTACATATTATGGACACAGTATACTTCTGTATATTATGGTGACAGTCTACTTCTGTATATTATTGTGACAGTCTACTTCTACATATAATGTTGACAGTTCACTTTTACATATTATGGACACAGTATACTTCTGTATATCATGGTGACAGTCTACTTCTACATACAATGGTGACAGTCCACGTCTACATATTATGGACACAGTATACTTCTGTATATCATGGTGACAATCTACTTCTACAAATAATGGTGACAGTCCACTTTTACATATTATCGACACCCTTCTTCTGTATATTATCGTCACAGTCTACGTCTATAGATGGTAGTGACAGTCTACGTCGATATATGACGATCACAGTCTACGTCTATATATGATGGTTGCAGTCTGCTTCTACAAATATGGTCGACCCGTGAAGATGCGGGGTAGAATAGGTCTTCAGCAACCCATGCTTGCCGTAAAAGGCGACTATGCTTGTCGTAAAAGGCGACTATGCTTGCCGTAAAAGGCGACTATACTTGTCGGTATTGTGACAGTCGACGTCTTCATGCTATGGTCACAGTCGACTTCTACATAGTATGGTCACAATCTTCAGTCTACCGCTATATGCGATGATCACAGCCTACAGTCTACCGCTATATGCGATGATCACAGCCTACAGTCTACCGCTATATGCGATGATCACAGCCTACAGTCTATTGCTATATGCGATGATCACAGCCTACAGTCTACTGCTGTATGTGATGGTTGTAGACTACTTCCCCCTGTGATGATTTAAAGCAATGTGGACGAGGACAACTTGACATGTTTCAGTGAATACGACTTCCAAAGTTCTAAATCTGCTCCATGTCACAGAATGTCAAAAAATGTTGTTATGCTATTCATGAGTGAAAGATATTGGACTCAAAATTGAGCTCACTCACATGTGTAAAATGTCTACTAAACGAAGCAACTCAGGTCTTAGACATGCACCATATGGTGGCGACAAACCTAGAAACAAAATCATGGCAAACCCCAAACCCCCAATCATACTTTTCTGAGGGATGCAGCTCTAAGGGACCCGCATTGCTTCGCCTTGGACGACTGGGCCACCCGTGCCCCCTATATTCAGGTGAAACTACACACAAAAAACGCCATTAGCTGGTGCGAATTTGGTACACATATGCAACATCTGCCCTCCCGTTATCATCCGTCGTGATGAAGGTCAAGGCTGCTATTCGGGTCTCCCTCGATTTTGTCAGATCATTAATAACAACATTTAACTTATACAACCATCAATATATTTAAAAATGAAAATATGTGGATTTATCAAGTTGTCAATTGAATATATTTCTTTTTCCAGTATTACGGTAGAATAATCAATCAGTCACGTTATGTCCGCCGACGCCTATGTGGGCTCCTCTGTGCTGTGTTGCTTCAAGAACAAGCCACGAAGCTCCTCGCCAAGAGCTGAGCTAGTGTCAGTCACTTCTTCAGCACCTAACAGCAAGATATCCCGGAACCGAGTGGCGCCGCTCGCGGCTAGGTCGTGTCCAGTGACAAAAGAAGCCTCTTTGAAAAACTACGTGGATGGAACAGTTGCCGTGGACACGCTGCATCAGAAGCAGCTTCAGGTGTGTTACTAGCTGTGAAACTATTGTGATCATAGCGTGGTAGTAAAATAGTTGTAATATTCTCGGGATCATGTAGTCATAATTAATTAGTTGTAATCATGTCAGTATCATGTGGTCATAATAACCTTGTTGTAACATTGTCAGTGTCATGTACTCGTAATTGACTATCATTCAACCGTGAATGTAATGTCATTATTGGTATATGTGTGTGTGTGTGTGTGTGTGTGTGTGTGTGTGTGTGTGTGTGGCTGGGTGTGTGCGTGGGTGGCTGTGTGTGTGTGTGTGTGTGTGTGTGTGTATGTGTGTGTGTGTGGGGGGGGGGGGGGTGGGGTGGGTGGGGGGGGGGGGGGGGGGGTGGCTGTGGGTGTTATGGACCATGACAGAGAAACGATATAGTCTACAGCTAGTTGTTTAACAGTTCGCTCGTCATCCCGATGACCCAGCTTTGCTTCCGCACATTGCCATTTATTTGGAGCCCATTATCAATGTTTCCCGAGCTATGTGGCTGAAATATGTCTAGGAGCTGCGTAAACCTGCCATATTCATTCGTCATTATCCCTTGGATCTTTCAATAGTTACACGATTTGTAAATGCTTAATTTCCACATTAGGGAGTAAGCACCATAACCGTGCTCGTGTGTTTCACCCAAACTGGTATATGTATATGTCTGGTTTAATAACACAGTAAAGGAAGTCATCGACGATACCCACAGATGGGAAGACATAAAGTACCACGTGACCTGAAAACGTAACCATGAAGTCTCCTGTCTGCACTGGCCACCTGTGTTGGTATGTCAAATTGGGCTTATGTGAAGAAAAAACGTTTGCTTCTCAAAGCCACAGTAAACTAACTCATTCAATAATTTCATTTTACTTTCAGCCCGGGATCTGTACAAACAACCTATGTTTGGGTTCAACAATGTTGAACGACGACATGAAACACCCTAAGGCGCATAGATCAAAGGGGGATATGCTGACCGGTGCCAAGGACTTCTGTGACCAATATTACACTTCATTAAAAAGGTATTGTGGTAGAAGTTACAGTAGTTGTTATGACATCCATTGGTATTCAAAATACCATTGTTGATGCATGCAATGATGTTTAATATAAAAGGCCAATACAAGAGAACTACCAATCTCGATCACCCGCCAAAATCGAGTCAGTCTGGCGGTACAGACACTATAAAATGACAAAGGCTACGCAACTGGTATACGATGACATGCATCAACCAAGTCAGCGAGCCTGACCATCCGATCCCGTAAGTCGCCTCTTACCACAAGCATAGTCGTCTTTTACGACAAGCATGGGTTGCTGAAGACCTATTATACTCCGGATCTTCAAAGGTCTCAAAGCATGTCGTGAAGCAATGACCAAAAAGCTATTGTCTCAAACAAAATAAATATCTCCCAGATATCCAACCACCACCCCAAACCAAAAGAAACTCAACTGTCGGTCGTGACCATCCATTGTATCACAAGCAACATATGATCTCTACTTCTTTCTTTCCAGCTTAAACTCTGAACGTCATAAAAAGAGGTGGGCAGAAGTCAAAAATGACATATCGACATCCGGAACCTATGACATGACCTTGGAGGAGCTGACCTTCGGTGTGAAGACAGCATGGAGGAACGCACCGCGGTGTATTGGAAGAATCCAGTGGTCAAAACTGAAGGTGAGTTGTCTGCCCAGAGCAGGGAAATAACACTAGAAAATCATGTGTGTCTGCAGAAGATTTGACAGCACCGCATCAGTCGTAACAATAAGGTTCGTCTTTAGAAGGGATTTGATAACCCTGGGCCAGTTAAAACAGGAATGTGTGTCTGTAGACGGATGTGGAACAGTTTTTACCAACATGTAACTATGCTCGTGGGTTTCACCCAAACTGGTATATGTATATGTCTGGTTTAATAACACAGTAAAGGAAGTCATCGACGATACCCACAAATGGGAAGACATTAAGTAACACGTGACCTGAAAAAGTAACCATGAAGTCTCCTGTCTGCACTGGCCACCTGTGCTAGTATGTCAAATTGGGCTTATGTGAAGAAAAAACGATTGCTTCTCAAAGCCACAGTAAACTAACTCATTCAATCAATTTGATAGCACCGCATCAGTCATATCAACATTGTTCGTCTGTAGAAGGATTTGATAACCCTAGGACAGTTTAAACAGGAATATGTTTCTGTAGACGGATGTGGAACAGATTTTACCAACATGTATCTATGGAGAAGAAAATGGTAGCAGGTGGAAAGGGCTTTGTAGCAATCATTTTTGCATTGCAATATATTATATCTCAGGGTTTTCCATCAGTTAATGTATCTATTATTGTTTGTAGGTGATGGATGCTCGCCACGTGTCCACGGCTCGGGGAATGTTTGAAGCGATTTGTTCCCATCTTGAGTACGGCACCAACAACGGTAACATCAGGTAAATATATTCCCCGATATGATATTGTGCTGATGAAAGTACCAACGGCGTATGTGTATCCTCCACTGGTTGCAAGTAACACAAAATTGGATTTACTCAAACTATCTGGTCAGACGTCTTATATTTTGGCGTATATGGGTACTTTTCTTCGGATACAATAGAGGGAGATTATTTTATGACACAAATGTCAAAAGATGCTTTGAGCGCAAGCTTTTGTCCATACATCGTTGTCAGTTGCAGTGCAACGAAATACTCTCTTACCGCAAACCGTGCAGCGAAATTATCGCAGTAAAAATTACACTCTTATTATTATTGACCTACAGCGTTTATATATAATATTATTGTTTTAACTATTGTTGCTTTCCCTTTAACAATAAGAACTCCATAATGGGTTCCGGTGCTAGTTGGTTTCACTAAAATCATGAATGTCATTTTGCACTTTCCTCCCACTTTAGGGTTTACATGATTGCCATGATTCTCAAAAAATCAAATGATTTGCTTGAATTTTCCATGATGCCCTCCATCATATTTTCTGTCGTACACAGGACTACTACTACTACTACTACTCCTTTTTACTACAGGTCTACAATCACTGTGTTTCCCCAGCGTAAAGCCAGGAAGGAAGACTTCCGGGTATGGAACAATCAGCTGATCCTATACGCTGGCTACCGTCAGTCTGACGGCAGCGTCGTCGGCGACCCCGCCAACTTAGAGTTCACAGAGGTTGGTTTACGTTCAAGCTGCACAATATGGAAGACAGCCGGATGTGATTATAAAATTATTAGGTCCATTAGTATCGAGCACTGTCGAGTATTTTTTCTGCAACAAATCCAAAGACATCGGAATATCAAATGGTCAACCCCTTACAATATATCCCGTTGTTTTACCCATGAACAGATATGCGAGGCGCTGGGTTGGCGTGGGAAAGGCGGGATGTTTGATGTTCTACCACTCGTCCTGTCTGCTGGAGGCAACGACCCAGAAGTGTTTGACATTCCCGAGAAGCTTGTGCTGGAAGTGACGCTCAAACACCCAAGGTTGGAAAACACTTTCTCATGTTGACAGTGATCGTGAGAAAATCCACCAGTCAGTAATATATCAGTTGTAAGAGAGCGAGTGGGGTGGGCTTTGCACCACTTTTAGCTATATTCCAGGAACGAGTAGGAAAAAACGCGTGTTCTTTCATGGTAATAAGTTGACCCTTTTAGTTTTACATTTGTTGTTAATTTAAAAACGTTTCAGTACCATCTTTTCATAATCTAACAGGCTCGGAGAGTATATATTTTGGTAGGATATGTGACAGAACTATTCCGTTCGACGTTTTCATCATGGCATAACAAAATAGGTATTACATATTTCATATAAAATTAAAACGATTTGAAACGTAATATGCATGGTAATGCTTTTTTAAATTCATAGATCTGTTTTTAAAATAAAAAATACATACCCATCAAGTATTGAACAAACGACTCAATTTTATAGATACCAGTGGTTTGAGGAGTTTGGCTTGAAGTGGTTCGCATTTCCGGGTGTGTCCAAGATGCTGCTTGACTGTGGTGGGATTGAGTTTCCCGCAATCCCTTTCAACGGCTGGTACATGGGGACGGAGGTCGGGGCCAGGAATATATGTGACGTCGCAAGATACAACATGACTGAGGTAAGTAAAGTGCCACGTCGCTTATGTATGTTTTTCCGTGACGCGACTTCATACGTCATTCGGGAGGGTGATATACTGAGGACGTCTGTAACGCCGGTATGCACGACGTCATTCAGGTAAATGATGTTTTACGAGGACGTCTGTTAAATACAGAATCGCTCAGGTAGGTGATGTGCCGCGAAGACGTCTGTACCGCCGCAAGATACAACGACATTCAGGTAGGTGATATCTGATATGGTAGGGGACGTCTGTACCGCCACAACATACAACGTCAATCAGGTAGGTGATATCTGATATGGTAAGGGGACGTCTGTACCGCCACAAGATACAACGTCAATCAGGTAGGTGATATGTCACGGGGACGTCTGTACCGCCGCAAGATACAACGTCATTCAGGTAGGTGATGTCACGGTGACATCTGTAACGCCGCAATATACGTCACACAGGTAGGTGATGTGTCACGGGGACGTATGTACCGCCGCAAGATACAACGTCATTCAGGTAGGTGATGTCACGGTGACATCTGTAACGCCGCAATATACGACACAGAGGTAGGTGATGTGTCACGGGGACGTCTGTAACGCCGCAATATACGACACACAGGTAGGTGATGTGTCACGGGGACGTCTGTAACGCCGCAATATACGACACACAGGTAGGTGATGTGTCACGGGGACGTCTGTAACGCCGCAAAATACGTCACACAGGTAGGTGATGTGTCAAGGGGACGTCTGTACCGCCGCAATATACGACACACAGGTAGGTGATGTCACGGGGACGTCTGTAACGCCGCAATATACGACACAGAGGTAGGTGATGTGTCACGGGGACGTCTGTAACGCCGCAATATACGACACACAGGTAGGTAATGTGTCACGGGGACGTCTGTAACACCGCAATATACGTTACACAGGTAGGTGATGTGTCACGGGGACGTCTGTAACGCCGCAATATACGTCACACAGGTAGGTGATGTGTCACGGGGACGTCTGTAACGCCGCAATATACGACACACAGGTAGGTGATGTGTCACGGGGACATCTGTAACGCCGCAATATACGACACAGAGGTAGGTGATGTGTCACGGGGACGTCTGTAACGCCGCAATATACGTCACACAGGGAGGTGATATGTGACGGGGACGTCTATAACGCCGCAAAATACAACGTCATTCAGGTAGGTGATGTCACGGGGACGTCTGTACCGCCGCAAGATACAACGTCAATCAGGTAGGTGATGTCACGGGGACGTCTGTACCGCCGCAAGATACAACGTCAATCAGGTAGGTGATGTCACGGGGACGTCTGTACCGCCGCAAGATACAACGTCATTCAGGTAGGTGATGTTACGGGGACGTGTGTACCGCCGCAAGATACAACGTCATTCAGGTAGGTGATGTCACGGGGACGTCTGTACCGCCGCAAGATACAACGTCAATCAGGTAGGTGATGTCACGGGGACGTCTGTACCGCCGCAAGATACAACGTCAATCAGGTAGGTGATGTCACGGGAACGTCTGTAACGCCGCAATATACGACACAGAGGTAGGTGATGTGTCACGGGGACGTCTGTAACGCCGCAATATACGTCACACAGGTAGGTGATATGTGACGGGGACGTCTGTAACGCCGCAAGATACAACGTCATTCAGGTAGGTGATGTCACGTGGACGTCTGTAACGCCGTAAGATACGTCACACAGGTAGGTGATATGTGACGGGGACGTCTGTAACGCCGCAAGATACAACGTCATTCAGGTAGGTGATGTCACGTGGACGTCTGTAACGCCATAAGATACGTCACTCAGGTGGATGAGATCTTTCTCAGATGCTTAATTCGGTAAAATATATAGGCGAGGTACAGTATGTCTCACCTTATTATGCGCAACACAAGGTCTCATATTGTATTTGTATCTATCATTTTTCAGAAAGTTGCTATTAAGATGGGTCTGAACACTGAGAGTATCTCTTCACTATGGCGTGACCGAGCCTTAGTGGAGGTCAACATTGCTGTACTGTATAGCTTCCAGGTACGTGTGATGTTCTCAACCGACAATGACGTTCTTGGCCTGTCATCTGCAAGCGTCGGCACCCGCCGAGTCTTAAGCCTCGCTATAGTGTATATTTACCAAGTACATATTGCCTTTCCTTCAACCAGCACGTTTTATGCATAACTATAGCTTTTTAGATATATCCATTTTATGTTGTTTATATTGGTTCAAAGAAGACTCAAGTATATATAATTTTAAAAAAATCCATAATCATAAGAAATCTAGGAAAATTAAGAAAGATCTGATGAAAGCCGAGTCTATGGTACGATATTATAAGCATCATTTATGAATCACTATCAAATAGGTATGATACCAGGTGTTCGCTAAAAGGTCAGCGTATCCTGCCCCACCGTTTTCATCCATCAGAAACACATGCAATGGAAAGTCAATTGTTCACCTTAACAAACACGGGAACATGTTGTTCAAGCCAGAATCGGGAATTACAGCAGACATGATTTTGGTCACTGTTGTGACAAGTTTGAAACGTATTCCACAACTTGTTTTGAAAGTTCTACTAAGACATTGAATGTTGTTACCCTGATCAACCGGCAATACGTCCAAAGGCCACCAAATTTGTTTGACGATATCGGTATCAAATTGGCTGAGACATTTTGTTGGAAATACGTCAGGGTATTTATCTATATTTTAACCGATGGATCTTGGGGATATGCGAAAATCATTTACTGTTAAGTGTGAAATGTAGTGTTATGACATCCTAGTCGGTGACCTTTGCACTCCCCGAAATACTACCGTGAAAGTTCGTGATTCAAAGTTCATTTTATCTTCATTATGTTAAATTGAAATTTCTAATGAGACATTCTTGGACACGCTCGATTTCAATACCAGGCAATACCGTGCTTATAATATTAGTTCGTCGAAGCGTGTCAGATCATGTCTATTTCAGCTTGTCTGCTATTTACAGATTGTCTACATTGTTGATATATCGTCTTTGATGATGTCGTTCTCATTTTGCAACAGTCGACAGGTGTGACCATTTTTGATCACCACACAGCGTCCGAATCCTTCATCCAGCATTTTCAGACCGAGCAGCGTCTGCGAGGGGGGTGCCCCGCTGACTGGGTGTGGGTAGTGCCCCCGATGAGTGGGAGTCTGACAGATGTGTTTCATCAAGAGATGATGGTCTACAAGCTCAAGCCTTCATATGAGTACCAGGTAGAGTCTGGTGTCACAGCTTGATGCAAGCATTTTACTTTAAGTTGCCAGTGTCATCTGCATGGGTTCGAATTCGACAATCAAACTAGCTTTCTCGGTTTGTCTGTACCACACCTGTCTGGTATTTGAGGGATTTATCTGAATGGGAAAAGCCGATGACATTAGTGCCTTAGAAATTCTCCTACACTACAGGTGTCCAAGGATCTGTGTTAAGAGTATCTTAACTTTTTCTGGGACAGGTATTCCTAAAACTATCATGATTTATTCTCACTGACCAAATGAAAACGGAAGGGGTTAATTTAATTAATTGTGTTATAGATATAAATTTGTCTACTGGGGACTATTTAGAAATAATTCACAATGTCAACAATCCTATTTTGAAAAAGCATTATTTCAATATGTTACTGTGCTATTTATTTCGCAAATTGATCAACGCATGCGCATTTACCTTTTGTTCTCAATTCCTAACGCGTGGCACCATTCCCATGAAGACATGTAGTGCTTTGACATCAGGCAACGAGATTACAATGCAGTAAAGTCAATGTTTAAAGAAGGTTGCGACACTATTCCCATTCGTCTTTGCCGAAGGCAATGCAAGAAATGTTGTCCAAGAGGAACTCATCTTTGACGATTTGACGTCCCGTTATAGTTTCACATCCTCATATCGGCGATATAATGACTTTCATGTGCATTATAATGTTAGAACACCCTCAGACACAACAGTCACAGCCGTAGACATCCTTAAACTGACACAGTGTACTGAACCGCGTACCCCACTCAGTTTGTGTCTCAAGGATTGTTCAGTGGATTTCCTGATGGAAGTGTGTTGTGGGTCTAAAGAACGTTGTTTGGTTCTTCGTTTCAGAGAAAACAATACATGTCTTCCTGCAATGGCCGAAGAAATAGTCAGTCCCAAACAAATGACTGTAGGCTCGTGTCGCTAAGATATACGTACATGCGAATATGGCCAAATATATACATTATGACCGTCTTTGATATGACTATAAGTGTTAAACATGCGTGTGTGTGTGTGTGTGTGTGTGTGTGTGTGTGTGTGTGGCTATATATGACCCCATCGCATCGAGTGTAGGACTCTACATGCGTGCGTGTATTTGTTTCTGTCGCCCCGTCCAGTGTGAGACCCTTTACATTTGTTTGGTTTTTCGTTTGTTTGATTATGTGTGTGTCCTTATATACACTATACACCGTCCGTGTCCAGTGTAAGACCCTCTAAACGTGCATTCCAGGAGGACGCGTGGAAGGTTCATGTCTGGAAGGACAAGGGCCTGCATCAAAGGTACCTGGAGGTGCAACAAAAACGGTGGGTGGGTCTTAGACTTCCGATCACCATGTTAATCGTGAGATGGGCACTACTTCAGTAACCCGATACCAGCCAAAGGCAGGCAGTTTAACATAAACACATCATTAGGTTTCACCGTCATACACACATTATGTGACGGTTACAAAATTCATAAAGAATTTGTCGTTGGGTGAGAAGTTCTCAATTACTTGAAGCACTCGTAAAATACTACCAAGAATCTCTTTGTTTTTTTCTCATTAACAATATGTATTGTCATAGTGATGACTGTCCACACTGTCCACAGACTAAACAAATCTAAAGCAAATGCTGTGGCCAGCCACATCAACTGTGTCATCATGTACGCCACGGAGACCGGCAGATCAGAACGCTTCGCAAGGAGGTTGTGTCAGACATTCAAGCGTGCGTTTACTACCAGGGTAAGATTCTTGTGTCAGTACGCCACACGGTTGTGTCAGACATTAAGGCGTGCGTTTACTACCAGGGTAAGATTCTTGTGTCAGTACGCCACACGGTTGTGTCAGACATTCAGGCGTGCGTTTACTACCAGGGTAAGATTCTTGTGTCAGTACGCCACACGGTTGTGTCAGACATTCATGCGTGCGTTTACTACCAGGGTAAGATTCTTGTGTCAGTACGCCACACGGTTGTGTCAGACATTCAGGCGTGTATTTACTGCCAGGGTAAGATTCTTGTGTCAGTACGCAACATGGTTGTGTCAGACATTCAGGCGTGCGTTTACTACCAGGGTAAGATTCTTGTGTCAGTACGCAACATGGTTGTGTCAGACATTCAGGCGTGTATTTACTGCCAGGGTAAGATTCTTGTGTCAGTACGCCACACGGTTGTGTCAGACATTCAGGCGTGTATTTACTGCCAGGGTAAGATTCTTGTGTCAGTACGCAACATGGTTGCGTCAGACATTCAAGCGTCTATTTACTGCCAGGGTAAGATTCTTGTGTCAGTACGCAACATGGTTGTGTCAGACATTCAGGCGTGCGTTTACTACCAGGGTAAGATTCTTGTGTCAGTACGCCACATGGTTGTGTCAGACATTCAGGCGTGCGTTTACTACCAGGGTAAGATTCTTGTGTCAGTACGCCACATGGTTGTGTCAGACATTCAAGCGTCTATTTACTGCCAGGGTAAGATTCTTGTGTCAGTACGCAACATGGTTGTGTCAGACATTCAAGCGTGTATTTACTGCCAGGGTAAGATTCTTGTGTCAGTACGCCACACGGTTGTGTCAGACATTCAGGCGTGTATTTACTGCCAGGGTAAGATTCTTGTGTCAGTACGCCACATGGTTGTGTCAGACATTCAAGCGTCTATTTACTGCCAGGGTAAGATTCTTGTGTCAGTACGCCACACGGTTGTGTCAGACATTCAGGCGTCTATTTACTGCCAGGGTAAGATTCTTGTGTCAGTACGCAACATGGTTGTGTCAGACATTTAGGCGTGCGTTTACTACCAGGGGAAGATTCTTGTGTCAGTACGCCACATGGTTGTGTCAGACATTCAAGCGTGTATTTACTGCCAGGGTAAGATTCTTGTGTCAGTACGCAACATGGTTGTGTCAGACATTCAAGCGTGTATTTACTGCCAGGGTAAGATTCTTGTGTCAGTACGCAACATGGTTGTGTCAGACATTCAAGCGTGTATTTACTGCCAGGGTAAGATTCTTGTGTCAGTACGCAACATGGTTGTGTCAGACATTCAAGCGTACGTTGTTGAAAAAACGCCCCTTTGCTTTCTAAGCTAAGGCCATGACACGAGTGGTCAGTCGCCTAAGGCGCCGAAAGTCGCTGTGCAGAGTTGGGCACGCCAGAATCATGTGAGTGTGGCATCAATCTCGATCGGTTCGCCCCGAATATGTTTCTATGTTTCATATCCGTGCTTTTGAATTTCACCAAAGTGACCTGGGATTTGGGATTTCCTCCCACATGAAGCTGACACGTCTTGATATAATTAGAATACTGTTAAGAGAAGTGTTAAACCAAATTCACTCACTCACACAACAGCAAATTACATAATTGTCATCTCTGTCGATTGTCCACAGGTCGTGTGTATGGAGGACATCTGCTTCACTGAGCTGCAGGAGCAGAACCTCATCCTTGTCGTAACCAGCACTTTCGGCAACGGCGAAGGCCCCGAAAATGGAGAGGTGAGCATTGTTGGTTTGAAAAGTTTTCATAAGGGGTGGGTGAATGAGGTGGAAAAGGGAGAGGGGTGGGACAATCGCACACAAGAAAAGAAGTGGGTTGAACAGACACAGAAAGAGGGGTAGGGTGTGGAAGGGAAAGGGCGGTTTACAGATACAGATGGGAGCGGAGGCAGGATAGACAAATGCAGAAGAGAGAGTGGGGTAGACACCTTGGAGAGGAGTGGGACAGCCAGACACAGAGATAAGAAGAAGAGGCGTGGGGTAAACAGGAGATGTGAGTGGAAAAGATGGGGAGGAAGGAGGAGAAGGGAGGTCGGATAGACACGGAGATTGGGCGAGGAGTGAGACAGACACGGAAGGTGGAAAGGCCACACAAAAAGGGAGAGGAAAGGGAGAGGGGTGGTACATTCGCAGAGAGAGAAGAGATGTGAGATGACGCAGATAGGGGGAAATCAGAGAGTGCAACACACACACACACACACACACACACACACACACACACATAGAGATGGGGAAGAGAGAGAGAGTATAAGAGAGCAAGCTCCTTCCCTGTGTGTGACACTCTCGGTAGCATCGCTGCCACCAATGTGGACGCGGCTATTTGCCCTCTAACCCCAAATAATAACGTTAATACTTTTGTTTATGTCTTTGGGCATGCAAGCATAGTGGATTTTAAAAAAGGATTACGACTGACCATATTTCCTAGATGAATTTACCTATTTGTTTGATCAGATTGTTTCGACATTTCCGACGAACGGAAAATCAACAAACTTCCCCCTAACATTCTTACCATATAAGTTACATGATTGACAAAGAAAATAATTTAGCAGGGGTAAGAGTATTCGGCGTGACGGCAGCCATCACTTGTTTGTAAACATAACGGTCCGTCGGTTGCGAGTTCTCCACGTATGGTTGTAGCAGAGTTGTAAAGTAGGGGGAGAGACAAGGAGGGCGAAGAAGTTTGTGATAGAAAGAGGACGACAGAGAGATAGGGCACATATTTATGTACTAACCTGTACAGACTGTGACGTGAATTTATTTTGTCTCTTCCAGGCTTTCGCCAAGAGCCTGGAGATACTTAAACAGTCAAACAGGTTAGTATCACTTTCATAACTACTCATTTCAAAATACTATTACGTGTAAACACATAAATGAAATTGAGTGTAAATGTTTATGTGCAGAAGTGTTAGCATTTGTCCAACTACACTTTTCTTGCTGCCGACCATCTCATGTTGTCTTGTGGTCCAGAAACAAGGGGAGTGAAGCAGGAGACGATATCGAGCTTAATGGAAGACCACTAAAAAACATCAGGTACGTTTTTCTTGCTCATTTCTTCCTTTTCTTTTTAAAGATATACAACCAATATGTATCCTTTTGTAATAATCATCTTCCTTGAATTAGGACATTATACTGATAGGGAACGGCCAACATGTGTTTGGAATTAAAATCAGACTTAACGTCGTACGAACAGTATTTCAGTTCTCGTTTTGATTAAAAAGATACGGAGTGTTTGGACTGGGTTCGAGAGCATACCCCCATTTCTGCGCCTTCGGTCACTTCCTGGACTCGCTGCTGGGTGACCTCGGGGGTCAGAAGATCCTGGAGACGGGGGAGGGGGATGAACTGAGTGGGCAGGAGAACTCCTTTAAGACCTGGGCACAGCACGCCTTTAAGGTGAGATTGAGATATTAAGCATACGTACAGTATTGATAGGTTAATACAGTAGTGAGTTGGATTAGGTTTGGTGCCATTTGGAGCAGGGAAATACTCACCACTAAGGAGAGGTGCTTGTTCTTGTCCAGACTAATGTCGCTTTTATAGCACCAGCTCACTGACATACGTATAGAGTGCCGCAGTACCAAGCTCCCGATACAATTTCCTGACTCGTTTTTTATCCCCTTAATGCGGATCGCCGGGTAAGGTTAATTTACAGTAAGTACCATATTTAATTTATTTGGTATACTGTGGCCAGGGGATCGAACCACCGACATTCTGCTCCCCAGGCAGACGCTCTGCCCACAAGACCACAGAGGTGGTTTCTACCTTCATGATGAAAACCGAGTACATTTTCTGGGTGAATCTAAATTCCGAACCCACAACTAGCAGATCCTGATATATCAAAGCGACTTTACTTTGTCTCCCCTTTGTCACACTATCGTTGCCAAATTGTCACGGATTTGAAAATGAGGTCGGCCCATGATCTTCATCAATTCTTTGTCTTTCTATACTCCGAAAAGGAAAATATATAGAAGCCATCTTCAGCCTTTTCGTTGTGGCTTTGAAGGTTCTGCCACTTGATTCCTGGACAGGGATTATTCGTAAGTAGGCGGAAACCGAGTGGATGGGATGCAGGGGATGCACTGTTGTAGACACCTTACCCGTAAGACCCGCCAGCACAAATCTCCTAAACAACCCCTCTAAACTGCAGGCTTCCCTGACGGCGTTCGACGTGGACAGCGACATGGACATGACAAACCTCACCGGGGACCTGTCCACTAACGACGACACGTGGTCGGCCGACAGATTCCGTATAGCAAAACTTCCTGACGGGGATGAGGGTGACTTGTTTAAAGGTAAAGTGAAACCTTGCCAATCCAGATACGTAGCCTATATACCTGTATTACATGATGCGGCGTAACGCAATCTTAACTCACTCACTCACTCTGTCGTATCTTCCTTCAGTTCTCGGCAAGATCAGCAACAAGACTGTCGTGCCGTGTAAGGTCCTAGAGAGAAGACAGCTCCAGTCTCAAACGTCTCCGTATGTACTTTCATTTTTCCGTCATTTACCGGAACCCCCTTGTCAACATATACTCAATTTCAGAAGTATCATGTTTAAGGCAGGTTCCATCAAATAAACATGTTTTTAATTTAGAGAATGAAAGATTATTTAATACGTATATTTACATTGAAGATGTTCATATTTCAAAACGGTAAATGTATATTTCGTTTTCTTTTATTGTAAAACAAGAAACGAACAAACAAAAACACAATATTCTGAGTTAATATGTTTGGTTTAGTAGAGTACCATCATCACATTGTCCTTATGCTTAAGTTGTAAGCTAACACTTATATTCATTAATGAATATATTGCTGAGAAAATATAAATTCAGTACACTGTGAACTGCAAGATGTTTTCTCCAGCAACAACAATAGTTTAAAGCATTGAGTTTTCAGTATTTTATAACCAATATTAACAGCTCCTAAACAGTTGGGAGAAGAAGTTCGCTAGGAGCCAAATGGGACCGTGAGCGGATGACCTATAGACTGACTGTTTCCATCTTCACTTTTCTAACAGCACAGATCTGAAGAAAACATGAGCTCTAATCATGGAAGACCGCCTCCGTGGTCTAGTGGTAGAGCGTCCGCCCGGAGAGCGGAAGGTCCGGGGTTCGATCCCCGGCCGCGTCATACTAAAAGACGTTAACAGATGGTACTTGTTGTTACCCTGTCTGGCGCTCGGCATTAAGGGGCTAAAACAAGGACTGGTCGGCTGGGAGTCAGTATACTGTGTCTGAGTGGGGTAATTAAGTTAAACTGGGGCATGGTATCTCAATGAGCTAGCACTATAAATCGGCATCAGTCCGGACTAGTACAAGCAGCCACACAAACACATACACGTACATGCACGTCGCTATATAACTGCAATAATCTTGGACGCGACGTTAAACCCCATTTCATCTCTTCTCACCTCTAATCATGGACAATTGATTGGCGTCTTTGCACAATCATAAAACTTGTAAATGCCCATATATAATATGGCTTACAGCATAACTATTCCATTACTATTGTTTATTATACACTCACAAACGTCCCACAGACGTCTCCTGGTTCATATTACCCTCTTGCTATTGGTAAAGGCCCAAAAGGTCCTAATATGCCTGAATGTCTTTGACACTAATGAGACTTATGGTGTTCGTCCAGGCGGCAAACTATCCTGGTCCGGCTCGAAACTAATGCTGCCACTACCATGAAGTACAGCCCAGGTGATCACTTAGCCATATTTCCCTCAAACTCCCCGGCAATGGTGGACGCCATCTTGTCTCGCCTACACGATGCGCCCCCTGACGGACAAATCATGCGGATAGAAATGATGCAGGAGGAGACAACCACACGAGGTAAATTTAAAACCATTAATGTGCAAACTAATTTGAATGTTAGCCATTCGGTTACACTTTACCATAAGAATAAGATTACTCGGATCTTTAATCTGTCATTCACTGAACCTTAATATTCAAAGGCTCATGGGTGACCCAGTCGTCTTGGGCACATCAGTTCGCTGTGAAGATTTGCGTTCCATAGGCGTACCTGACACCATGGTCATTCTTTCGACCTGATCACATGTTATGTATCAGGTTTGTCAGCCCAATTCCCGTGCTCGTGGGTTTTCAAGGATTTTGGTTCTTGTTTAACGCCACATTCAGCTGTATGAGGGCGGTCTGTAAATAATCGAGTCTGGACCAGACGATCCAGTGATTAATATCATGAGCATTGATCACATGCATCAACCAAGTCAGCGAACCTGACCACCCGTTCCCGTCTCTTACAACAGGCATAGTCGCCATTTACGGCAAGCATTGGTTCCTGAAGACCTGTTCTACCCCGGATCTTCACTACTCACTCAGTTGTATATTTTGTTGTATTTGGCGTATTGACAATATAATATTTCAGGCACTGCGAAGAAGTGGGTGACATGGGACAAGCTGCCGGCCTGTTCTCTAAGAACAGCCTTCACCCGGTACCTTGATGTGACCACGCCCCCCACCCAGGACTTCCTGAAAGTGTTGTCCAGCTTGGCAGTACGGAACCAGGACAAGGACAGACTTGACCTTCTGACCACTGTGAGTCAAGTAACGCCGCATTCAGCAATATTCCAGCTACATGACGGTGGTCTGTAAATAATCGAGTCTAGACCAGACAATCCAGTGATTGACATGAGCATCATTCTACGCAATTGGGATAATATGACATGCATCAACCAAGTCAGCGAGCCTGACCACCCGATCCTGTTAGTCTTACGACAAGCATAGTCGCCTCTCACGGCAAACATGCACGGGTTGATGAAGACCTATTCTACCCCGCATCTTCACGGGTCATCTTATATGATAAACATAGGAACCAAATGATGCATCATTTGTGTAATTGTGGTGAACCTCTTATTTGAATGCTAAATGAAAGAAGTTGAAGTGAACAAAAAACGATTTTAATGCCCAAAAGTGTAGTAAGAGAAAATATATTATAACCTTTAGAACTGTGCTTCTTCAATATAGCCTGATCTGGAAGAGGCCGGGGTATTCGATTAATTGTTTCACCGTCTCGGGAGTACTTTACAACAGTTATTTGTACCAGGGCAACTTCATACATTGTTACTGCGATAGTTATTTGAACCACAGCGTCCATAAAGAAATTTTGTAATTTTACTTCCTCGCGTTGCAAGCATCAAACGTCACTCTCATCATAAATAAGCATTTTATTGTCAATGGCATGTACCAGACGTTCAATTCTATATTTCAGAGGATGAATAGCGTTGTATGAAACATCCCCGTGACGATGTGCCATATTTCCTCAAGGCTGTTCCGTTAATACTGTACTATTTCCAGGATTCAAGCGTTTACGAGGAATGGAGGGATACGAAGACGCCGACCCTCGTGGAAGTGTTGGGGGAATTCCCCTCCCTCCGGGTACCCGCCTCGCTGCTCGTCACGCAACTCCCCTTACTGAAACAGCGTTACTACAGCATCAGTTCTTCTCACGACGCCAACCCCAAAGAGGTCCATGCCACTGTTGCCGTGCTAAAGTACACAACGCAAGGTAATAGTTTCCAAGTCAATACGACCAGGGACTGTTTCCATTAATATTTACTTGTATATACGTTCATTGGACGATCGGGGCGGTCGGGTAGCCTAGTGGTTAAAGCGTTCACTCGTCACGCCGAAGACATGGGTTCGATTCCCGACATGGGTACAATGTGTGAAGCCCTTTTCTGGTGTCCCCCGCCGTGATATTGCTGGAAATATTGCTAAAAGCGGCGTAAAACCACACTCACTCACCCATTGGACGATCATTTTCCACTGATAGAGATTCATAATATAATGAAATATGAAATTTGTAAGTAACAACTGTAAAACGTAGAATGGTAAATCTTTAACATAATAACATTTTCCCGGTAGATGATTATCGATAAAAAATCTCTCCGAGTAGCGATGTTTAAACGGTTTATGATCATGAGACGGGCATCATCGATACATGACGGTTGGTTTGTTGGTTTGTTGTTTAACGCCGCACTCAGCAATATTCCAGCTATATGACGGCGGTCGGTATAAATAATCGAGTCCTGGCAAGACAATCCAGTGACTGACATCTTGAGCATCGATCCACGCAATTGGGATCTATGACATGCATCAACCAAGTCAGCGAGCTTGACCACCCGATCCCGTTAGTTGCCTCTTACGACAAGCATAGCTGCACACATGTAGCATACATGTAGCATACATGTAGGTTGCTGAAGACCTATTCTACCCCGGAATCTTCATGGGTTCATGACCTGACTAAAAATAAACACACGCGGCATTATAACACCGGTTGATAGAGGAACGTGGAGTGTACATACCTGTTAGGTATTCACGACGCAGTTGATTACTGATATATTTGATTGAGTGACGAAAACTTGTAAATGTAAACGCAATTCAAAAAGGGGAAATACAATAAATATTTGCCATTGCAGGTGGCGTGGAACACGAGGGTGTGTGTTCCGGTTGGCTAAACAGACTGGAGGTCGGACAGGTCATCCCGTGCGCTATCAGAGCGTGAGTCATCAAACAAATTGCATCATTTCCAATTCGTCATGATAGAGTTATCATGACAAGGTTTTTTTGTCTGTTTGTTGTGAAACGCCGCACTCAGCAATATTCCAGCTATTTGACAGCGGTTTGTAAATAATCGAGTCTGGACCAGGCAATCTAGTGATTGAAAACATGAGCATCGGTCCACGCAATTGAGGTACGATGACATGCAGCAACCAAGTCAGCGAGCCTGACCACCCGATCCCGTTAGTCGCCTTTTACGGCAAGCATGGGCTGCTGAAGACCTATTCTACCCCGGATCTTCACGGGTCTCACATGGTTTTAGCAAAATTGAAATTCAACACGACAGCGGACACATATATGAGTTTAAACAGTTATATCCATCTCTGTCTGTGACAGCGCCCCCAACTTCCGCCTACCAGAGGACAAGACGCTGCCGGTGATGATGGTGGGACCAGGGACAGGCGTCGCCCCCTTCAGAAGCTTCTGGCAACAGCGGCAGATAGAGATGGCCAGAGGACCTGCTCCGAACAGTGAGTCCATAAAATACACCTGGACAAAACTTTAGTGGCCCCTGAGATAATGAATGATGACATGTCACCATAATTAACAACTGTAATTGAAATTATGATTATGATATGAATGGTGTTCCTTCATAAGGGACCCGTGAAGATCCGGGTAGAATAGGTCTGCAGCAACCCATGCGCTTACGACAAGCATGAGGCGCCTAACGGGATCGGGTGGTCAGGCTCGCTGATTTGGTTGATGCATGTTAACGATCCCAATTGCGTGGATCGATGCTCATGATATCAATCACTGGATTGTCTGGTCCAGACTCGATTATTTACAGACCGCCGTCATTTTAGCTGGAATATTGCTGAGTGCGGCGTTAAACTACAAACAAACAAAAGTTAACTCTGCAATTGGTATTACAGCTGTCAGGCTAACTCTCCGGGGCCTGTGAAATCTTACAAAAATGGTGCTTTGTCTCAATGAGATGTGACCTACGGCACTGCTCATCCTCGCGATCAAGACACATCAAGAAAGGTCTGGTCATTTTTTTAGAGGATAAATGTGACCCTGAAAAAGTAGTTTGTCAGATGGACACAAACACCCACTCACTCTACGCACGAAGGTGCACACAGTGTGCTGCCAGGACATTCTACTCGTATATATTAAAATTCATTGTTTGGTGACATGTGCTGCATTTATTCTGTAATTTCTACGACTGGGGTATTGTTTTTAATGCACTTTGGACGCCAGTCGGTGATATTAGGGTGACTTGAGGTTGTGTTCTTTGCATGGTCTGCTATTGGACTCTTGTCTGTTCTTTTCTTCAGACTCAAGTCGACGAGGTTGGGGTGACATGACGCTGTATTTCGGCTGCCGGTCGTCGAGCCAAGATCACGTGTATGAATCTGAGCTGGCGGCCATGAAGACACAGGGAGTGCTAAGCGACTACCACGTGGCCTTGTCACGCGAACCAGGCACACCGAAGGTGATATCATCCTCTCTGTCGAATTTCGGTCATTTCCCTTTTTTACTATCAAAATGGAAGGTCACGTCAAACAATCTTTTAACCTGCCAGCACTAGCATCAAAGATTATCGTTTAGTAAGGCGAGAACATCGTTGAGCACGATCTGAAGTCCCGAACAAAGCAAGTTAATAGTGAAATGGTCCATCTCCTCCCCACCTGATAGTGAAATGGTCCATCTCCTCAACACTTGATAGTGAAATGTTCCATCTCCCCCACACATGATAGTGAAATGTTCCATCTCCTCCCAAACCGATAGGGAAATGTTCCATCTCCCCCACACGTAATAGTGAAATGTTCCATCTCCCCCACACTTGATAGTGAAATGTTCCATCTCCTCCACAATTAATAGTGAAATTTACATCTCCTTCCCACCTGATAGTCAAATGTTCCAACTCCTTCACACCTGCTAGTGAAATGTTCCATCTCCTCCCCACTTGCCAGTGAAATGGTCCATCTTCCCCACACTTGATAGTGAAATGATCCATCTCCTTCACACCTGCTAGTGAAATGTTCTGTCTCCTCCCCACCTGATAGTATAATGTTTCATCTTCTCCACAACTGACAGTGAAGTCAAATATTCTGTCTCCTCCACAGATGTACGTCCAGGACATGTTGCGACAACAAGCCAAGTACGCCTACAACACCATGGTCAATTCCGGCGGACACATCTACATATGCGGCGATGTAGCAATGGCCGAAGATGTCAAGCAGACCCTCGAGCGGATTCTGAGTGAGCACGGAAACCTGACACCAGAAGCAGCCAGAGACTATATTCGCAAAATGAGGGTACGTATAAAGACTGGAAGCAGCCAGATCCTGTTCGTCTACTGGGAGTAAATTCACACACTAACAGCAGGCACGGACCATCTTCCTAAAATGAGGGTTAATATAGTTATTATAGACTATTTTCGCCTTGAGAGAAAAAAACAGAGATTGGAATAATGTATCACGGATTTGGTATTTTATCTGTTGAAAATTCATACTGAAAACTGATAAAACTGAGGTACTGATACATATTTCAGAGTGACAAGAGATACCACGAAGATATATTCGGTGTTGCCCTGAAGAAAACGAAAGTGGAAAACAGGTCATCTGCCAAGACGAAAGAGCAGGTACGGTATGGTGCCTCTCAATGAATCATCATTAATTCCTCTGATGCCATTACACGCCATTACCTGGGACCTTTCTTCACACAATGAATTTTTGTCAGGGATCTTTTTAAAGGAAATATTTGTAACAAAACGATAAAGAGAACGTTTGAGGGACAAAAGTGTTTAGCACCTCCTGCCAGGGAAAAAAGTGCATGTCTGTAAGAAATTCCAAACCATGACTTTACAATTAATATCATCTTTCCTCGAAACATATGTTTCAATCAGAGGTGGTTATTGTGATGTGATACGTCTTACTGGCAAATCGGAATCGAGGATTTTCCCAATTCAGCATTTGAACAAATGCTGCATTTGTTACACGTCTCCATAACGAATTACGACTTGTACCTCTTGGCCTCTCGTGTCCCGCCCGGCTGAATCACGGACCTGCTGAGAATCACCTGGTGACGGCATATGCGCAGCCCGTGAAGATCCGGGGTAGAATAGGTCTTCAGCAAACCATGCTTGCCGTAAAAGGCGACTATGCTTGTCGTAAGAGGCGACTACCGGGATCGGTTCGTAGGGCTCGCTGACTTGGTTGATGCATGTCATCAATCCCAAATTGCGTGGATCGATGCTCTTGATATTAATAACTGGATTGTCTGGTCCAGACTCGATTATTTACAGATGGCCGTCATATAGCTGGAATATTGATGAGTGCGGCGTTAAACAACAAACCAAGCAACTCAACATTACTATTTCACGCCTTACATTGCTCACTTCGTTATTTTGCAGTCAGCATCTGTAGTGCTCAATACATCTCAAAGTTCACGACATGTCCCCAAAAGAAGTCAAACATCCACATAGGAATCCGTTGTGATAGTAATACAAGGTGAGTAGCAATAATTTTATGATAATTGTTCACGTTAGATTTTTCGGACGTTGACCTGTGCATGGTGAGAGACAGCATTTCATGCATATTGTAATCAATAGAAATCAATAGAAAAACATAGTGCATTTTAATAATTTATCACCCTTTTCATAGAGGACAGTAAAATGAATAATCACATATCACAGATTTATATTGGAAACTAGACAACATCAGTCTAATACATAACATAAAAATTAGGCCACCACAGGGGACTTATGGCACATCTGCCTTCTGCATGATACCCCATCAGGACCTCTGCTACCTACCCTAGCAGCACCATCCCATCACAATCACAAGTGATTGTTTGCAAGTTTAGCAAGAGATCAAAAATAACAAAATACTGCGACTTAAACAGACGATAAAAAATATACCTTGCATGGCGTGGTCTTATTACCTTCTCAGGATGTTCAGTTATGTTGTCACAAGCATGCGTCATAACGAGTTATCCATCGTCTGTACCTCCGCTAGTTGGTCCCATCATCGGTTAATTTCTTCTTCTCTGTTCATGGCGCTTAAAGAAGCAAGTTATTAAATTTGTTAAAATGTTGCTTTTTAAAATCGTTAAGAATGACTTTCTGAGAACCTTGTAGGAAGTATGACTGAAACGTTCGAGGCCTGACTATAATGTACTGCGTTGATGGAGTTAGTTGCAACATTACTTTTCAACATAACTTCCCTCAGGACATAAAGTCCACATACTTCTGACAACGATGCTGGAGTGGCTGGATCCCACTGGTGTAGAAGGCTTCCTCCTAATGATGTAAAAAGCCCTCCACAGCAGATTTGCGTAATGGATGCCAGACCGTTCTTCCTTCAAGTTTGGACAGAGGTGGAACTGACAGTGTTTAATCTGGTGAATACGGAGAAGTACAATGATTTCAAAGTCACAGTCATTATTGGCCATTGATGGTCTGACCTTACAGGTGGACGTCCACCAGCAGCAGGATGACTGGAGATCGCCATGCCAGCTGATGGAATAGACTCTGCCTTCGTCGTCTGATTAGACGTTAAATGTTTCTATTGGTTTGGCTGTTGTATACTTTCTGGCACCCAGCATGCTGAAAGCTTCTTCATGCCCAGCTCATTACTTAAAATGTTCTCATCTCTCATGACTGATGCCTACAGTATTGTTCGTTCGTTCGTTTGTTGTTTAACACCGAAGTCAGCAATATTCAAGCTATATGACGGCGGTATGTAAGTAATCGAGTCTGGACCTGGAAATCCAGTGACAGATGCTATGAGCATCGATCCACACCATTAGGATACGATGACATGCATCAACCAAGACAGCGAGACTGACCATCTGATCCCGTTGGTTGCCTCTTACGACAAACATGGAAGCATATTTTGCTGAAGACCTATTCTACCCCGGATCTCAAAGGGCCGCCTACAGTATTGGCTATGTGGCATGTGGTGGGTGGTCTCTCATCCATAATCATATGATGTATTTTATCAACACTTTCTTGCATAGTGTCAGTTGAAGGTCCTCGATGATCTCCCGAGCCCTCTTGAACTCTTCAACTCCGCTGCCCACCTTGTAACAGAGCATCATCCCCTGATTTTAACACCATGTCCGCTTAAATGGCTGCTGGCTAGATATAACATTTATGAGTTTACCTGGTGAGCAATAGGATATTGGTTCCTTCTGCATTTTTGATATTACATCTTTATTTCAGAAAGACACAACCTATATTTGAAAGGATTCTTGATATCCATGTGTAAACGATGGTTCTGAAGTACTTATGACATTCTTTCAACTTCGATGAAATAAAATAGGAAGCATGGACAGACGCCGTGATGTTAGTAGCCTTGTGATCGTTCTGTCGAAGTGCATGTTGAACGTAAAAAGGCAGAACATGTGTGATCTTCGTCGAGGTCAGATTTAAAGAGATCTTAATATGGTGATCAGGTTGTTCGTGATGTTACATCCAATCTCTTGTCTTTTGATGCAAGATATCCGACTTATCATTTTCGTACCCTCAGGATCCTGTACATGGTTCATTATTTTTTTTTATTCAGACTGGAAGACGCTCAAAGGGACATAATCGTCGGCAGATCTTCTGATGCCAACAGACTAGCTGCGAAGTGGAGATGCAAGGATTGTCAGGCACCGACTCATTGGGCGTTTGTGTCAACTGATAGCGATTCATAATACAGTGAAATATCAAGTCTATTAACGACTGTAAATCGAAGGATAGGAATGCAAATTTGTACATTTTACTGATATATTGTATTTGAATGAAGATAATGTACGTGGAAGAACGTTCATTGAAATGCAATGCAGAAACAATCAAGTACCATCAAGTACATCCACATATCCTTAAACAGTGCAACACTCCACGTGGTATTAGTGGCAATACACTAATACACTGTACCATCTCGTTTCCAAACCATATAGGCGACTAACGGGATAAGGTGGTCAGGCTCGCGGAAATCGTTGAATTCATATGGTTACAAACCATGGAGCCGTTCCATGATGCGATCTTAGGGCTGTCGTAAATCAATGCTAAAGTAGATTCGATGGGCCACCGTCAGAATGCTGTCTGGGAAATGTATATTAACAGTTCAGAATGTTCTTACTTCAGGAAAGCCCTTTCCACTCACTTGGTGGACGCCCTTATCAAATCTGTTGAACTGTGCAGTTGGTTGTGGCATATTGCAGATTGTACATGTTTCAAGAAATCCAACATGATCAAACGTAATATTAGTCACGTATAATGACAACTGTACCCTACAAAATGTAGATGTTGAACCCAAATTCCTTATTCCCTGGTCTACACACTCCACTTGTGCTCAGAGTGTCCTTTATAGGGGTGTTATTGTTTACTACTACTACCCCTACTACTACTACTACCTTGACTAAAAATAATAATAAGAAGAAGAATGATCGAAACAAGCTGCAGTATGACTGTTCCAGGATCACCGAAATCATCTTTGCTGCATTTTATATTCTAATCTGGACAAAGGACAGTAAAAGATTGGTTGATTGGTTGGTTTGTTGTCTTAACATCGCGGTCAGAAATATTCCAGCTATATGACGGCGGTCTGTAAATAATCGAGTCTGGACCAGACAATCCAGTGATTGGTATCATGACCATCGATCCACGCAATTGGGATCGATGACATCCATCAACCAAATCAGTGAGCCTGACCACCCGATCCCGTTAGTCGCTTTTACGACAAGCATAGTCACCATGGGTTGCTGAAGGACTATTCTACCCCAGAATCTTCACGGGTCGACAGTAAAAGAACTAGAGTATCACAGCTATAGATATAAAAATAGTTTGTAACTATAAAACTTTGACTAATCAGTACAATACATTATAAAAGTAGGCTAGAGATCACCAGCAACAAAAGTTAAGCCACCATACAAGGGACCACGGGGACTTACGGTACATCTGCTTCCTGCGTGGTACCCCAGCAGGATTTACACCATCCCTCTGGCAACTGATGATTGTTAGAAAGTTTAAGCCAAAGCATTTAAAACCAAACAAGCGTTCTGCGATTAAAACCATGGAAATTGACAAAATACTTTGAATGAAATGGGACTTATGTACCCTCTCAGGGGACAATTATTTTATCAGTTATATAATCATTTTTACCAAATTAAAATCTATTAATCTATCTAATAATTCAATTTCTTTAAAATAAATAAATAAATAATTAAATGAGTACTTATCTGATAAAAAAGATCCTTGATGGATGAAAAATGAAAATAATTATCCCTTATGATGGAAAAATCAATAGTCTTTCATCACAAGGGACACAGAATGGAGGATAATAATAATTCATGTGTATAATGAGAATGGCCAATATTACATCGTCGCATAATGACTTCAAACCTGGACTGACAACCCAAGTAGGTGTAACCGATAGTTGGTTTGTTTGCATGTAATTTATTAGTACCACCTTGGGTGTCCCACTTCTTTTGCATTAGAACTTTGATATAGAATCTAATGACAGGCTTGTAGTCACTGTATGGTAACAGAAGTGGTGTCACAGAGAGCCACCTTCGCTGCAGCATCAGCCATAGTGTTACCCATGATTCCAACATGACGAGGCAAACAGTAAAGGACGACGTCGTATTTGCCAGTAGCATGGTCATTGTATAGTTCTAAAATATCTAAAGTGAATAGATGACTTGTAGGGCTAGATTTTATTGCCTGTAGACACGATAATGAATCTGAAAAGATGATGAACCGTTTACGGTTGGACTGTTTTGGGATATATTCCAAAGCAGCTAATATTGCTTTGGCTTCAGCGGTGAAAATTGAGCTATGGTCTGGCAATCGGGATGGTACGGTTTTGGATCCCATGACAGCAGCACTTGAGACTGTGCTACCATCCTTGGATCCGTCTGTAAAAAATGGAACGATGGGATTCATATTTATTTCTAACTTGTAAATATTCTTGTTGATATATTAATTTATTTGTGTCTGATTTTTTAAAATGTGTAAGAGTACTGTCTTGTTCCGGTCTGATAATTTGCCAAGGAGGAGAAGACAAAAGCCTGAAAGGAGAAATATTATCCTCTTGTAAAGCATGTCAAGACTCATGATGAAAACAAGGCATTCCAAAGTTTACTCAAACGAGCCAAGGGTGTGGGACATAATCGTAGTGTCAGTGCTGATTTTGTCGATGGCTCTGTACTGTCCAGCAATGAGTGTCAACCAAGCGAAGTGCCATATCAAATCGGCCAAGACTGTTTTTCAAGGAGAGGATATCTGAACGACCACTGCATCGAGTTCATGTGCAGTGTGTTGAGCCCTGCAGAGTCCATCGCTTGGATGAGGTCGGCTGGCTTGAAAAGTGAAACGGAAGGGTTTCTTTTTGCTGCTCTGGACCAGTCACTTCCAACTCGAAACCGTCAATATGTGATTTTGCTTCAAAATGTGAATATGAAATATAGATTATGCAATGAATTTAATGAGACTGTCCAACACATTGTCATAATTTCTGAAGAATTACATCGATTCAGTAATCACGTCTTCCACCATTGAAAACTTATAAGCGATATTGAAGATGATGGTGTCTTATATGACAATCGCATAGATATGTCATGACGCCATTAGTATTGTGACGTCATTATACATAACGTCAACAATGATGTTTCTGTTACATCAAGAACAGCTCTTGCCATAAACATGAGGCATTAATTCGCTACATATTAGTACAATGTCACAGACGACGTCAGGCACAATATCATACTGGTTTGCTAAACGATGTTGTGATAAAACGTCACAGTTTAACACGCTCAATGTTTGTTTGATGTTTAACGCCACACTCAACAATATTTCAGCTATATGATGGCGATCTGTATATAATCGAGTCTGGTCCAGACAATCAAGTGATTAATAGCATGAGCATCGATCCGCGCAATTTGGATACGATGACATGCATCAACCAAGTCCCGTTAGTTGCCTCTTACGACACGCCCTATTCTACCCCGGATCTTCAATGGTCACATGTAAGCGTGGCAGTAAACAATATATATATATGGTTATTGTTACTCATCCTACATAATACATTTAAATTGAAATAAAATAAAATTATCATTGCATGATTTCGGAAACTTCAGTTTGTCGTTTGTTTGTTTGACTAATGGGATCGGGTAGTCAGGCTCGCCTACTTGGTTAATGCATGTCATCGATCCAATTTGAGTGGATCGATGCTCATGTCACTGGATTGTCTGGTCCAGACTCGATTATTTACAGACCGCCGTCATATATAGCTGGAATATTGCTGAGTGCGGCGTTAAGTGAGTGAGAGTTAAAATTTAACCAGTAATATTTAAAATGTATTATACAGACCAATTTCTTTCAAGTAATTTATGATGAGATGCCCGCTGACACGGGAAAAGAGATCTTTTAGATTTACACTTTGATAATGTGAATCCCTTGCGATTGCAAAGTCCACACAGTCAAGCAATATATGCTTGACGGTGAACCTTTCATCACAAGGTTCGTCCTCATCTGTCTTAAGAAGATATTCGTGTGTAAACCGACTGTGGCCAATACGACATCGTCGTAGAACGACCTCGCCATGTCTTGACTGACAACCCAAGTAGGTATTTTACTGTTATACTGCATTATGCCACTAGCGGCTGTGATGGTGTATAACATATTAGAGTAATCTCCCCTGGCGACCTAGCCGTCGGGACCCCCTGTTTTACCGGATGTACCACCCGCGTATGTATGGCAATAAATACAAGACGGAACACAGAATGTCGTTCTCCATTATTTACTCGTCAGAGGCAGCAACAGCCTAGGGCTTGTTCAAGTGCTGCAAATCATCCCTAAAGCGTGAGAATATTACGGGTATGACCGATTGTTGGTTTCAATTCGTGTAGTTTATTGCTTCCTACTTGGGTGTCCCACATCTTTTGCATGAGATCCCGAGTATAAGATTTGATGGTTGGTTTGAAATCACTGTACGGGGTCAGAAGTGGAGATAACGGTTTGTCAAGAGCTGCTTTAGCTGCAGCATCGGCTTTTGAGTTACCTGTTAAGCCTACACGACTTGGTAACCAGCAAAAGACGATGTCACTTTGGCCAGTAAAAAGATCATTATAGAGTTCTAAATTGTCAAAGATAATATGGTGATGTGGTGAGACACTTTTAAGTGCCTGAAGGCAAGATAACGAAACAGAGAAGATTATGAAATTTTTAGATTGGTCTTGTTGAATATAGGTCAAAGCTGTTAGGATAGCTTTAGGATAGCTTTGGCCTCAGCATTAAAATTGAACTAAAATCTGGGATTCTTGAGGAGACAGTCCTGGATCCAGTGATGGTGGGTGGCACTTGCAACTTTGCCACCATCCTTGGACCCATCTGTAAAAATGGACCTGTGAGAATTATATTTGGAGCGATATTGGTTAGAATCTATATGATTGTTGATATACCAAAGGATTGGTATCCGACTTTTTTAGATTGGTTAAAGCGAGATCTACTTCTGGCTTAACCATCTGCCAGGGAGAAGACAGAATACGGTGAGGTGATATAATATTTAAATCTATTTTAGCTGCAGTGATGTGTGGTTGAATTCTGATTCCAAGTGGTGGAACCAGCTTTGATAGATTTTGAAACAGGTTTTCATATTAAGGGTGGAAAACACAATTGTTTGCAGGATTAGATTTTTTTGAGTGCAATTTAGTGATATATTGCATTGAAAGTTTAATGCGGCGCAGTTCGAGTGAAGGTTCATCTGCCTCCACATACAAACTGTCCACGGAGAGGTCCTAAAAGCTCCAAGACAGAGTCTTAGGCCTTGATGGTGTATAGTATCCATTTTTTCTAAATTGCTTTTGCAGGCTCCACCATAGACAATGGAACCATAGTCTAGTTTGGAGCGTATTAACGATCTGTACACGTGAAGGAGGGTTGTCTGATCCCCTCCCCACTCGGAATTTGAAACTATTTTTAACAAGTCGAGAGAAATGTTGAAATCGTCTACAAAAAGTGAACCATCAACGCGGCGTTAAACAACAAACCAAACCAAAACTATAATTGACATATTACCCTATTTATTGAGCCCTGTAAACATCCTCAATAACAACATGATAACCCCCCTCCCACTATCTTGCTGAAGAACAGTTTTTGGTGTGCAGTTGATCTTGTATGTCCATAAAAAATAAGTTAGCTTGAAATATCCTTTGGAAGATTACCATACTAAGTGTCAGGGACGCTTAATAGGGCAAACATGATATTAAATATATGCTAATAAATCAGAAACATGTAGCAGGAAATTTGAAGACACGAAACGCGACTATGCTTGTCATAAAAGGCGACTAACGGGATCGGGTGGTCAGGCTCGCTGACTTCGTTGATGCATGTCATCCTTTCCACATTGCGAGAGTCGATGCTCAAAATATCAATCACTGGATTGTCTGGTCCAGAATCGATTATTTACAAGACCGCCGTATATATATATATATATATTTGGAATATTGCTGAGTGCGGCGATAAACAAAAAACAAACGAAATCCAACCTCACATTGTAATCGACAATT